TATGTATTACTTGACAGATACATTGTGCTTTCATGCGATGGCCAAGTCAATATATTTATTTAAAATATAAAAGATTTTTAGTATTGATGTGGTCACTATAAGATTTTGTTAGGTTAGCTAATGACGTAATAATTTAAGACAGAAGGACCCTTAAGTAGGGACTGAATAAATTAACAGACTTGGTATTACATGGATCTCACAACTTTTTACGGTAGAAGAACTGAGTTGCGAGACTTGGTTTTTTTTACAAGTTATGTTTTTGATGGCATACATTTATTCATATTGCAACATTGTCATTATATATCGGAATGCGGAAAACAACTACGATTTTTCAGCCGGTGTATTTTATGTGTTGAAAGTAGAGCTGAGACTAATATGGAATAGTTCCATTTTTAAATTTTTAATGCAATCTTTTTATTTGTATTATAACGCTATGTTACGTTTAAGATTACCTATATATAATAGCAAACTAATGTTATTATCACGTTAATACGTTTCATTTAAAAAAAAAGCGATAACGAATAATCTCTTGTACCACGCCAGTCTTCTACGATGCATTATTGTACACCTCGGGCTTTCGGTTCACCACTACAACCACCTCAAAAGAGGAGGGGGAGTGCTCTATTATCGGACAAAAAACAAACGTGCGATTCACTTAGCCTCAATTATCTCCACCACATTTGTAAAGTGCTTGATAAAAGGAATTCTTATGGAGGAGAGGACCTTTCAATAAGAAAAAAATATTGATGGGCAGGAACGATATTATAAAATCTTGGTCAATGGCTTTTTAATTTTCTTAATTCGTAACTTATTTTTGCCATTTACGCTGCGTCTCTTAGTGGACCTTTTTTAATTTTAAATTATCCAAGAAAGTAATGCCTTGGAGTTTAGCGTATATAATTTTAAATTAAAAATTTTGTACAGCCGACTTCAATATAAGTTATTAAGAATAACTCAAAAACTATTGGTCTGACCTTGATCAAATTCATATGGGACCACACGAGATGTATCAGCTTTCATATAAAAAGAATCATCGAAATCAGTTCACCCAGTAAGAAGTTATGAGGTAACACACATAAAAAAAGAACAAAAAAATACAGTCGAATTGAGTACCGTCTCCTTTTTGGAAGTCGGCAGAAAAAACTGCAGACAATATTTATAGCAATTTAAATATTCAAGCTTAAAAAAAATGTTCTTGACTGTCTGTCACTTGGATTATTTAGATTGTCTGATTATTATGGTGCTTTACGTTACCACCATTGTCTAAAAATAAGAATAAGAAAGTTTATTGGAACGAAGTTCCTTATCGGACGGTACGGGTTTGGCGGATGGGAGCTAGACGACAAAAAGTGTAAGATCTTTTCGTCACTACCCCTTCTGTCATAGTGTATTTTATTTTAAATGACGCTTCATTTTAATAGACGCTAATAATTAATTAATTTATATTTGTTAATCAATAATATAATACGTTTATAAATAATAATATACTATGAAAGGAACTTCGTTTCAACCGAGTGTTCCACGACACTAACGCATGTTTTTTTTTTTAATACGCAATACATTCAATATATTTATTTAAAATATTATTATTATCAACATATGTATTTGAAGTAAGTATTATTCATTGCGCCTTACCAATTCCAAGAAATGTTACGGCGATAACTCTCTCTCCTCTACAACTGTGACAGCAAGTTCGAAACTTCTAGCCAACTTTCACAGTTCATTGATTATAAAATTAATTATTAGAAGAAAATGGCATAACCATATTTTATTTAAAAATCAGTAATTTTATAAAAGACAATGTTGCATGTGATATTATACATATAGGTAATATGTTCATTATTATTTGTATCACTCAATATGCTATCATAAATTGTTTTCAGTTCCAAATCTAAATCAGCTGAATTTTAAGGCAGGATGTTCATTATTACGTATTATAATTTAAGAAATAGCTCGATTTAAAATAAATTTTAAGTTTTAATGAATTATTTTTATAATCTCAATAGTAATTTTACATATGAGTATTTCATAGTTAAGTTAACAAATGAAATTATTATTTTTTAATTTGTAATAACTCACTTGGTGAACATTGTCATGACATGAATGACTTATCATAGAGCGATATCCATGACAAGTCCTCCATAGCCCATCAGAAGTTGCTCTTATTGAATTTAATCCGTTCTAATATTTACAAACACATTACCACTTTCTTGTTATTGTTTTTATTGCTTACAGCAGTTTAGAATAGTTTTATTATACTTAGGTGATTTAGAAGTGCCGGTAAAAAAGGATATGTTAATGTTTGTAAATCTTTACAATGATGTAACTTTTTTATGAAAACATTTACTTACTTTTAAATTCTATTTCAATATGTTATCAAATCTCTACGTAAACATATTTTATTGTATTTTCTACACTAATGAAAATAGGCAATCTTCTTTGTATTGATAATTGCAGCGGACAACGTCACAGTGTTCAAATATATTATGACTTACGTGTATTACATAAGATCATAAAAGGCACGTGGGTGGAACCAAAATAAATTTAATAGAATATGAAGTGTTTCACTTTACAGAAAGAATAAAAGTAGCTACAATTACAATCATAGCTTTACGTTAAAATGTAAAATATCAAAGCCACATAAACAGTAAAAAGAAAATAGATTGGACGCGATGCACCTGAATTATCTTAAGTGATGTAGGTACTACCAAAGTATATTTTAATCATGTACTTGAGTATACATTGTAGAAATGTAATTAACATTGAATGTACACAAAACTAACACTGAATGTAGTTATTATTTACTCTATTTATATAATTATATTTAACTAAGGCCTTATAAGATATTTTAATAAAAAAAAACAACGTACGAAATTACACCATATTCAAACAGTTTTCGTATCACTTGCAAAATTCAAGACATTGGTGTACTAGTCTGACGTTCTAAATTATAGAGAACAATAGCCATTATTTTGTCATATTTTTTTCCAGTTTTTATCGAGACAAAAGCGATTTTCAAAATAAAAGACAACGCATACTTTCGTACAGGTGTTAATCAAGTGCTTTGAACATACTTAAACGCTTTTTTCATAATTAAATTGACAGTTAATCATTCATAGAATCAGACCGTTACTTTGCGGAAATCCATTATAATGGGGTTGTTATAAACTGATTTGCTTAATTCCCCGTAAAGAAAGAAAATGATGTGTCCTGCCCAGTTTTAAGGGGACCTCACACCCTCCCTCGAGGGAGGGTGTGAGGTCCAATTAATCATTCATTCACAATATGAAAAATTTATTAAATATATGTTTTTAGAGGGTAAAAGTAACAAACGAGCACCCAGCGCATCTATCCTCGATTACAAATTAAAATGCAGATGCGTTGTCACTCGTGAGGACTAAGGTGGAATGCCTCGTTTCCATTAAAAATAGTCTCCGGCTCTCTACACTTACCACAGTATTCTGTGAGAGCGAAGTCCTTCCCCGGTCGAGCCGACCCAATTGTGCTACAACTATACTACTAATATAGCTGCAGCATGGCTCTACCACGTAAAAAATCCCCGTTTAAGAATTAAAATGCAGATACGTTGTCATCCCTGAGCACTAAGGAGCATCCCTGAGCACACACACATATGAAACACAGCAGAATTAAATTGTTATTTCACGCTAATATACGCTGTGAAAGCGTAACATAACATAATCAATAATTTTGATCGAGAACTAAAATCTTTTTAATAACTTAATTCATAATTTGTATAACCAGGCAAATTGGTTGGTTATCTACTTTGTAGAATGTTATGGTCATCCATTAAAATATATTCTTTTATTATTTTAATTTAAAATTGAACTCAGATTTTAGAGAAGTTTACTGAAATTTAAGTGGAATAAAAATAATTTAAGTAAACTCGTTGTTAAACTTTCTATCATCCCTGTCTCTACATTGGATTAATAAAATTTACAGAAACAGAACAATATTGCAACGTTGCAAAGATATTATTAATAAATTATATCATGGAAAATAAACAATGATAATAATCAACAATTGTTACGAGTCAATCAAGAAGTACAACACTTACGCATTGTGACAGACAATGTAAATAAACAAACTTCACAAACAATCCTGAAAATGTCATCTTTAGATTGTTATTTAGTTTAGTGGACACTATATATTTAGAATCAAAAGAATCAAGACGTCCGCCTTGATTCTTTTACACTTAAATACACTTTTATTTAGTTTAGTGGACACTATATATTTAGAATCAAAAGAATCAAGACGGACGTGAGGGTTCATGTGAATTCGCAGTGTCCGCGATTGGAATTGAAATTCACGACTTCCCTTTCCGCAATCTACGGACAGACAACAATAATCATCTGGTATTCTTGTATACTCGTACAATATACAATAATAACATCGCAACGTAATATGAACAATCGTTTTGCATGGTTTTAAAAAAAATTAACACGTTGTTATGCTTTAATAAGTGCATCTAAAAACAATTCATATATTTTAGGAAGGGACACTAAGACTTCATTGATATTTTAATGTATCTATCAACCAATCTTTACACGTAGTCTTGAATTAAGTTTTACCGATAAGTCCTTAATAACACATCGGTAGCTTTAACCAAATAAAGATACCATGATATTTTTCCATTAAGATAAGATTTTGATTAAGTTGTTACACCTTTCGATGTTAAGTTCGATGAACTTCCGTTTATGTAACAGGTAAAAGTAATATAGAAAATAGTTTTAGAAATTTTCCGTTGACCAAGAACAGAGTTGTGGCGGGAAAAGCGTATATCACATAAATGTGAAAGCTGGAACATGTTTTATATTTATTAAAGCTACATTTATGTTTTGTTTTAATTTTACAAAAATTGTAATCTTATTTCGGAGCTTCTTCGTAGATTATATTATACATTTTTAGAAAATTTATAAAGATATTTAATGTTTCAATGTGGTCGACTATTAATAAGACTGAGGAGTAAAATTCTCACTTACCTCAAATGTAATAACCCCTTTATATCCATATTTGTCGAAAATCTTCTCAATGAAATATTGTTCGGCGGGTAGGGCGTTGTCCGTGACTGGACTAGGCGTGATGGATTTTAGGTCGGGGGTGGCAAGGGACAACGTCGCCAGCACCACAAGGACACTCGCCGTCAACATGGTATCAACTGAACCAATACACCAACAGTCGGCAACGCTGCGCAGGCGGCGATCCCGCGCCGCGCACTATTACACTGGCGTCCGATCAGTCTCAGAGCTTGTCAGCCGTGATATGACACTATATTGTTGGCGCGCACCGTTTGTTTGTTTGTTTGCTTATCACACGTAAAAATGGTGAATTAGATTAAATATCTACCGAAACGTCGTCGTCTATTGAAACGTGGTTTGCGTCTGCGACTTTCACTCGTCGTCGGTTGAATGTATTCGAGGCCGGTTCTAACACCGATAAAAAGGTGTATCAATGTGGTCGCCGGTAACTGGAAAATCAAATCTATTGTACGAAAGTATCCACTTTATTTCAAGGATCTATTTAAGGGCATTACGTTCTCTATTATTTACATTTCCTTATTAAAAAAAAAACATAAAAAAAATTCATTTGGTACACTTTATTCGATCTAATTTCAAATTATTGTGTTTTTATTATTTCAATTGTAAGCAGTGTTATGAGTGTGAGGACAAGATAATTATAGAACAATAACTTTATTGATTCAAGATAATTAACATATAATAATATGATTATGATGTCTCTATGATAGAGGCGCTTCCGTAAGGGCTTGTCCAATGTGCATCTAATATAAAGGTATAGTTTAAGTTAACGTGCCCTTTAAAAATAATGCTGAACACAGTTTATATTTTTAAAAACGTATCGTAAAAACGTATTAGGTACTCTTAAAATTAAGAATATATAATAGTTTTTTTCATTATTTACGTATGTTTAAAAAAGAAAGGCAAATTGCATTATGATCAATAAGAGGGATAAATGCAACTTATCGTGTACAATGCGCTCTGGCATTATATTTTTTTATGTTTGGAACAGAGGTGCTCATTAGTCTCGACACGTGTGTCTTATAATTATAATTCTATCAGGCATTCCGTTTGTGACGTTGTATAAACATACTAATACTTAATGCAGTCTCTTTTTAATGTTACCAAATTGTGCTTCAAATTGCTAATATAACGTCATCATAACAATCCATTACACGTCTAAAGCTGAACTCCACTGTCCATAAATTGCTAATAACACTGTTCTAAGCTACCCGCAAACATAGATACTTTCATTTATAAAATCAAAGGATAATGGCGAACGGTCGCACAGCATCTAGTGTCGGTTCATCCTACACAGAAAATCGTCTCTCAAAAGTTACTTATACTATATATATGTCCCACTAGACTCTCAGAAAGACTCTAGTTCTAAAACTCCCTCAGAAATGATTCTGAGGGTGTTTTAGGGCAAGGAAATGTCCGCAGCGCTGCCCCAATGCGTGTTGGCGAACTTCACATGTCTGCGAATTTTTTTTTCTTATTTCTCAGACATGCAGGTTTTCTCAAGACGTTTTCTTCACCGCCGAGCACGTGGTAAATCAGCACTTAAAATTGCAATTAACAATTTTATTGGTGGCGGCGGGTTATCGAACTCGGGTTGCCCGCGTACTGTGAAGTTTACAGGGAGCGCTAACCATCTGAGCTACCACGACTTTCAAAAGTTACTTGCGTAAACGAAAATGTGAGGACTATCTCAATAAGCGACGTATAAGTTAGAGTATGTCCTGATGTAAATATTAAGTTACAACAAAAGTTTACATCCCCTCCGGGTTGTGGCCTTGTTTTGACTGTTTAGCAGCCATAGCTTGGTTACCCACGGGGACTAAACAGGAACTCACTTGGCTGGCCTGAGGTTGCCTCTCCTTCTCCGAATGAACATGCTGAGCCGACTATTGACGCGTAAAGAGAGGTGGGAAAAGACGCGGGGAAGAGAACTCGTATGGCGATCGTGCTCGTGTACTTTAATCCTATCCTATATAATAAATAAATAGTGACCGTAATTCGGCTGACGATAGGCCGATCGCCAATCTGGTACGGTGTCCAACTGTGATGACATATCCTCTTTACATTGGGAGAGACTCATTTTCAGAACTCGATTGTTTACTGGCCAATAAATATTAACAGTAGGAGATATTTTTTTATCAATGTAGGTATGTACCTACCTTATCAATTAATCATAACTCGAGTCGCTGTTTAAAATTGCCTGTGCTGTCAAACCATAAATCAATCGAGCTAAAAGTAAAAACAATTCATAATCAAATTTCAATAATTGTGTACAATATTGAATGTTAATTGTATAACTTTACAACGCATAATGTTGTCAGTTCGTTTAGGGATTCTTTATTATAATAAATTGTTCTCAGAGTATCAGCAATAATGTTTTTCCTTCTTCTTCTTAATTACTACCCTGTAAAGTTCCATTACTGGCCATAGGCATCACCCAAGATGGAAGGATTTACCTTATTCCGTGTGGTGGTGGTTTAAGAATCCTTCATCATCACCATCATTACAGCCCCTCACAAGTCCACTGCTGAACATAGGCCTCCCTCAAGGAATGCCACAAGACACGGTTCTGAGCCACCTGCATCCATTGACTTCCTGCATGTCTTTGCAGGTCGTGTCCTCTATCTAGTGGGGGAACGCCCTACACTTCGTCCGCTGGTACGAGACCGCCGCTCGATAATATTTTTTCCTCATCGTTTGTCGATTCTTCAAGCTATATGGCCGGCCCATTGTCACTTCAGCTTACTAATCCGTTGGACTATGTCGGTCACTCTGGTTCTACTGCGGATATCCTCATTTCTAAGTTTATCACGCAGGGAAACCCCGAGCATAGCCCTCTCCATAGCTCGCTGAGCGACCTTGAGCTTCCTCATATAGCCAGCAATGCAGGACCACGTTTCAGTTCCATAGGTCATCACTGGCAACACGCACAGGTTGTACAGTCTAGTCTTTAAGTTTTGAGGTATAACTGACGAAAAGATATGCTATAAGTTCCGGAATGCTGCCCAGTTGAGTTGAATCCATCGATTGACCTCTCGGTCGAAGTTGGACTTACCTAGCGGACTATTTGTCCCAGGTAAACATACTCGTCAACAACTTGGAGCTTAGTGCTTACAACAACTACCGGTATAGGTGTGACATGGACGCTACACATTATTTTTTTTTGTCTGAAATGATCGACAACCCTATAACAGAGATTTAATGAAAATAATGTTAATCAGGGTAATTTTATAACAGGGTTGTCAAAGCTGAGGAGGGTCAAGAGCTGTCGCTGCAGTTCGGATGCCAGTTCTACGACTTAGAATAATAACACCTAGAAGCCGAGTCCGCGTCCGTAATGTGAGGCAACTCAAACTAAGCCAGTATGGCTTAGTTCAATACTCGGCCCGTTAGTGCTGAAAGTCGTGTCGTGTTGACAACAGCTCCCGAAATTTTAATTAAAATGACGTTTTATGCAGTGAACGGATGTCAGTACATCAGAGAAACACAAGAAACATAGTAACATTACATTTCACGAGTAACTAATGCTTTTGAACTTATATTTTTACGTAAAACTTTCATCAAAAATAAATATGAATTTTTAAAAACTGACATATAACATTATATGGAAATGTTGCCAAAGTGAAAGAAAAATTCTCCCATCTTTTTAAATTAAAACTAAAACACGTCAATAGGAATAAGGGCATCCACGAATTTTTCTGCTACCAGGGCGGCGCCACTTTACAGTGAGGTAAAATATTTGACAGATTTCATAGCGGGGCTAATAATTTCTTAAGAAAATTTAATATTTAAGGTTTCTTTCTGTATTATTAGTTATATTTTATATTAATTACATTAGAAATGAATAAACCAAACTATAAAATATAACTAAAAGCAGTTTTTTTTAAAGAGTTATAAAGTGCAAAAAATTAAAAAAATCAAACCTCTGACGCATTGTGTTGTGTAATAATATAATATTCTAGATGATGATTAACTATTATTTAAAACTAATTTCTCAATTAACTGACACTATGTTACAAAAATTTTCACCTCAGACACAACTAGCGACATCTGGTGAGTGGAAGATTATTAGCCCTCATTAAATAGAGTGCGTAACGCAACTTGACAACTTATTACTACGAAGGCTGCCAACATTGAAAAAATGCAACGCATTGTTTTTATTTATCGACGGCTCCGTGGCGCAGTGGCTTAGCAATGAGTTGTTGCGCTGGGGGCCGCGGGTTCGAATCCCGCACGGAACAAGTATTTGTATGCCTTACAAATCATTGTTCCGGGTCTGGATGTTTGTTCTCGTGCAATTTATGTTTGTAATCTGCCTCCACGATATAGGAGAAAAACCTAGTGTGGGGGTAACGTTTTAAAAAAAAATTAAAAAATATGGATGATGAATTTTAAGGAAACTTTTTATATGGTCTGATAATAAATGCATGTTTGGTTCTCGTTTTATGTTTCTTTCTGATCCGATCATTGCAGCTTGTGATATAGAAAACATCAGACACAATCGAAATGAAAGCAGTTGGATGCCCACTAAAATAAAAAAAATGTTCTTTACATTTTTTTATAGGATACGGTGACATACGAACACACGGTACACCTGATGGTAAGTGGACGCTGTGACCCATCTACATCTACAACTATCCTCAATAAAGAGATGCGTTGTCATCCTTGAGGACTGTGTAAAACCTACCAAAATTTTCTCGTGTTTTTCGTATGGTAGTTTATATTATGCATGCAGTGAGGTGCGGTACACCATTACTCGATGATTATTAAAAAAAATTGTTAAAACAAACTGAATAATAGATACTAAATACGGTCAATCGTTCGTCGAACAGTCGTGTGTCAGGCATCGGGCGGGTGTATATCGAACTTGCATTAGTCTTATAATTATAACGTCTCTATACAGTTACAAAGAAAAATATGATGCAATCACATTTATATGGTTCATAAAAGTATCTTACTTGGCTAGATAGGCAAATATCCTATTCAAAAATATTTTGAATTTAGCGGGCTACACTTCGATAATAGAATTTAAACAAACTTATTTTCACATTTGTGTGAGTCATACGTTACGTTGTAACTATTAGTCCAATATAGTTTCAACTTCCCTACTTTTC